TTCTTCACAAAGTGCTGAGCTAGCTGCTCTGAGAAATGTAATATTAATAAGACCTCTCCTCCCACTTGAAGAATAATACTTCCCAGCAGGGAAAGATTAGCACATATACAAAAACGTCATGTATTCATTTTTTTTTCATATTTTGCTTGTTTCTCCTTTGAGTAATTCATTTAGTGTGCAGCAAAGGCCATTAACTCAAAGTGAGGAGAAACATTCAGAGGGAGAAGTGCTCCCTTCTACAGGAGTCAAGGATGGCTACAGTAGGAAAATCAGGATTTTAGGGAAACTGAAAAGGTAAGACTAGGGCAGCGCCTGTGGCTCAAAGGAGTAGGGCGCTGGCCCCATATGCTGGAGGTGGCAAGTTCAAACCCAGCCCCAGCCAAAAAAAAAAAAAAAAAAGGTAAGACTATCATAGAGACACAGGTCAAAAGAGCTATTCTAAATGGAAGAAAACTGAAGGAGAGAAAAGCCCCAGAAAATGCAAGAGGAGCTACAGGTACTTACATTTGGCTGAAAGCATGTGAAAGGATTGGTAGGGATGAAATAAGGCTCCACACCTTCTGGGCTGATCTAAAATGCCAGGCCAGGAGTGCTCTGGGTCTTCCCTGATAGTCAGTGTGGCACCATGAGAACTATAACATCAAGGTAATGGCTTTCGAATCTTTACTGGGCAATGGTGAGCGAAAGTGATTGGAAGGGTGTCAGGAGACGATTTTCATAACCTTGTGCGAGAGCAACAGAACCTAAGTGACGATGAATGAAGTGGTGGGTATGAGGGGCACTCGATGAGATCTCTGAAGTTCAAACCAAGAAAACGACCTAAAGCCTCATCCAAACAATACAAATACCTAAGGTCCAGAAACAGGAGAACTTTATAAGGAGTTTTCTTAAATCATTGCTAGAATAATTGATAATCAGAGTTGGAAAGACACCTAAGTCATGTAGTCTCACCTCATTTTACAGGTAGATAAGGGGGCCCAAAGAGTTGTAATTTGGGAAAAGTTGCAAAGACAGTGAATGCCAGGATAAGATACTATAACTCAGGTTTCCTCACTCCTAGGCTGTGGGAGACCTCCCCTAAGAAAAGCATATGATTAATGCTTGCTTCTCCAAAGCACTCTATCATTCTTCTTATTCTTTTCTCATTTATATGAACGCCCCATTTCAATCTCTTTCTTTGTAATTTAAAAACACGGTCTTCTCTCCCTGCTTTCACTGGCTCCCTTGGTCACAACTAATGTTTTTATGTAGAAACGGCCAGATCTAAGCCTCTAGTCAAGACCCTTCTCCTGACAACTCTGCTTGAGTCCCCAAACAAAATGTATTTTCTCTCCTACCTACTTTAAGTTTCCTAGTTGTCATAATGGATCATCTAATAATCTTAGGTAGAAACCTGAGTCACCTCTCATCCTGTCCTCTCTTATTTACTACTCTAAATGCCTCTTAAAGATGCTATTTTCTTTCCATTTTACTGGGTCAGCTATAGCCCAAGACCTTATTACTCTCCCTCTGGACAGCTCTGCTTATATTTTAATCGGGGTCCCTGTCAGTCATCTCTTCCTCAACTCACCCATTTTTCACAATGCCTTTCAATTACTTTCTTTAAATACACATTTACATCTGTCATAGTTCAAACTCTCTTGACTTCTTGCTTGAACAGCCCCTTAAGTGAGGGGTTGATAAATGTTTTCTATAAAGGGCCAGACAGTAGATATTTTAAGCTTTAAAGGATCCCATTCAACTCTGGTGAGGCAGTACCATACATAAGACGTAAAAGATAACTGTGGCTATGCCCACAAAACTTCATTTATGATTTATAACATTTATGTGCCACAAAATGTAAGTATTCCTTTTTTAACCATAAAAAAAATATAACAACCCTTCTTAGATTATGGGTCAGATTAGTCTCAGGGCCTGTAATTGTTGGCCCTACCTTAACTGGTCTTCCTGTCTCCTACATCAACTCTCAAAGTTTACTCTCCCTACTGCTATATGAGTCAGAATCCCAACCCAGAAAGTTGATCACGTTGACAGCCCTGCTTAAAATGCATCAAGAGTGACCCGTTATTCTCAGAATGGCCAAAGCGCCAGAACAAGGCCCACAAAGCTCTTTCTCTGGTCCCTGCTCCCCCTTTCCAGTGCTCTCTCCTACAAACTCCTAACCTAACTGTAGAGTTTGTTTCCTCCCATCTTTACGTCTTTGTCTATGTAGGTCCCTGTACCTGAGGTACTGACCCTACCACTGTCCACTGTGAGACGCCTATGCATGAACTCACTAACCGCGACTGCTACCGCGTCCCTGCACCTCTTTACTATGACTTTTCAGTCTTCCCTTTCAGGATCAGCTTCCCTATCACCTGCACCTCTTGTTCCCCTTCCCGGGTGTTCCCGGGGTGATCTTTTACTTCTGTCCTCACACTACTGTCATTCTCTACTACAATAACATACAGATCTGGCTTCTTAGTAGAATGGGAGCAACCTAAGGGTATAAACTGAGCCTTATTTTTCTGTCTATACCTGTGGCCAACCAAAGTATTTAAAAGATAGTAGGTGTTCAATAAATATTTGCTGACTAAGTGAAAGTTGCACTCACCAACTGGGTACTTTGAGGACTGCTGAATTTCTATTTTCCATTTTTAAATCCAATTTAAATTCAGTAAGGAGAAACACCAAAAAAAGTGGCAGTTTTTCTTTCAAATTAATCAGATTGCTACTCTACTTTTTAAATGTTACTTGCCCCTGAAGACTTGGATCCTTATTTCATAATTATTTATAACATGGTTTTCATATTCAACTTTAATCTTTGTTTAAATGGAAATTTTTAAATTGAGATTAAGTGAGGTGTTAACATGTGGGAATTACGTATTTCAGCTGGTCTACACCAAAAAAACAATGTTTCTTAGTCACATACCTGAGTAGAATCAAAGAATGGTTAGGGGTGGCAAACTCTTAAATTAAAAAAAAAAGAATTAATGTGTATCAGAAACAGCAAGCCCCAAAGCAAGTCACATTTTCAGTGCAAAGAGAGGTATGCACAGTTCCCTGCCTTTCTAATTGTCATCTTTAAATTTATGAATCCAAATTTCATAAAATACGAACACAGACTAAGCATCGAATGCTTACAAAAGAGTACTGCACTTAGAAAACAGGTAATGAAGTTTTTTTCCTACAAAATGAGTTTAAATTTTCATATAATTGGTGTAAATAAAGCTCAACCAAAAAAAAAAAATGCTTTCTATACAATCAAGCAAAACCATTTTCCTTAAGAACAAAGGAATTAGTTACCACTTATACATTTTCAGTAGTTACTACATCTTAATATACTCTACTTGCAAGAAATTGATCTTATCAAACACTACAAATTGCTACTGCACAGAGAAACTCTCTACAAGCTCTAATTCAGAAATTAACTCTCTGAATAAAGACAGACTGGCAAAAGGGGCCAAACCAGCATTAATATTTATTTACTAAAGCTCAGCCACACCGAGCCGTCAAAAGCTGCCCAATTTCTCTGGTCTAGTAGTGGTTAGTTCTGAATAGTAGTGACAGAAAAGAAAAACTATGAACATTACCATGAAGAAGCCAAATTCTGAAACTTCTAAGATTAAATAACCACAGGAATTATATTAACAGTATGTTCTCAATTCTACAATTACAATACTTTAATTGGGCATTAAAAGAACAGTTGTTATTCTGCAGTATTAAGCATTTTTTTCTCATAAAAGCATTTCGTGTACTGGGATTTGTCCCAGATATCAGACATGTACAAAGGATTTATTTTCTTTCTTTCCTTTCTTTCTTTGCTCTGTTTTTCTTTCCATTGTTTAAAAGGGATGGTGTCAAATCATTTGCAAAATTATCATAAAAAATGTTTTTAACAAAGTTTGATTTTAACAGAACCAGAGGCATCTTAACACTAACCCAAAACTTTGGGAGGTTCACCAACCTCCGGAATATTTTTTTTCCAAATGCAGGCTGTTCAAGTGGTGCTTTTCTCCATCTGTTATCATACCGTGCTCAGAATTACATTGTCATATTTAACGTAAAAGGGATCAGTCCCCTTTCATAGCTAAAACTCAACATATTACTCTGATTGGGAGCCCAATGTTTTTCTGACTTATAAATCAAACCAAATGTCATAAACTTACATGTTTATTTAGACAAAGTCCTCTCTTAAAACTGTAAGTACTGAAAAAACTCAAAGGCTTGATGTGAAAATTAAAAAATTGTACTAAAACTCAAAATGAGAAGAAATCACTTATAAAGTAAAATACCTATTCTCATTATTTGAATTTTTCTCTGTGTTATAAATATGTGTATGTGTGTTTGTTTCCAATACAGCAAATTCACAGCGCTGGAAACCTAAAGAGTCTTATTGTAATTTAGGGCTTAGCTGTATATGTTTACTAAAGTTTGTGACACTGATCATATCACAATATCTCATGATGGAAACAAACTAATTTGAACTTCAATGGTATAAGCCTGAATACAATAATGATTTGAACATGAACAGTGCTAATCAATTTCATCTCCAAGTTTTATACCTCCTTAAGATACAGATTCCTTATTTTGTATCAGTTCCATTTTAATTTGCATCTTAGATTTTCCTTTACTTCTTTAACCACTGAACAGTATTTTATGATTTTCCAAAATAAATTCTCAGATCCTTTAGTTCAACATTTTTATTAGACATAGAATTAACAGGAGAGGTAGTGGTGGTGGTAGGAGAAATATGTCGTTTTGCTTATAGTGCTAGAGAATCACCTAAATATTTGAGCATTGTAGATGAAAGGTTTTGTAATATATCAGTAATTCCCTGCCACACTTATCATTCACATGTCTGGGTGTTTTGCTTACCACATCTCCACTTTTCTTAATATGCTTGAAAGCTGTGTGTGAATTGAATGACTAAGACTAACTCTAACAACTGTTTGGAAGCCTGTGGCAAAAATCAGTGGAGTGAATTGGGGGCTGTGGTGCATAATGGGATTAGGGAGTACCTGGTGAGGTGCAGTTGGTGCTCGGATTCGCCCAGCAGTTCTGTTAGTTTCAGGCACTCCTCTCTGGCCCGGGCTGCCTTCTGCTGCTCCTGTTCCAAGTGCTGCTTGCTTGCACTCAGTTCCATTCCCAATTTCTCTATCTCCTTAGGTAGAGAGAAGGGGGAAGAAGCATCCGTATAAAATATATGAACTGGAATTCAAAAGTAGCTCATTTTTATTTTTGCCATGAATTTTAATGTGATGAAAAATTATTAGAAAATTTAGGCTAGCTTCCATTTCATGACAAAGGGAATTAGCACATCCAAAAATGCACATTAGTGAGGTTTTTGGATTATAAAATGAAATCTAATTTTAAAAATGATTACATGAGGAGAGTAGTCAAAATGGATAATTGCACTTTCATTCTCAGAGTTACTCTTTTTAAAAAGTAACATTTACTTTTTAAATACTACCTTAAAAATGTGACATTTTTGTTTGAGATTCAACCAGACACACAGTGATTTACATCAAATATGTGACTTATTATTCTGAAAGACAGATTTATGGTTTCATTTAGATGTTTTGAAACCCAAATTAAAAGTTAAAATAATTTATCTTTTAGAAAAACATGAGGAGTAAAAATCGGTATCATTATCACGTTCAATATTTGGAAAAAATAATTCAGGAAAAAATATAGCATTAGAACCTTTAAGCATTAAGGGTATATGAAATTTCTAAATTAAAATAATATTATGTTAAAATTTGCATTAAAGAATGCCCTCTAAGACTAAAAAATGTGAACACCTAAAATATACAAAATTTAGGATAGCTTATTGTTTGGTTCAGGATGAAATTATCCTTGTCTTACTGAAACTCAAATATTTCAAAGCAAAAATACCTTATATAGAACATAGTCCTAAATTTATATATTGAAGTAGAAACATTTATCATAGAAAACATAAAATTAAGCAAACAAAAAAGGATAAACATTTTTAAAATATTTAGGCTATTAAAACAAGAAAAACAAAAAAGGGAAGAAACATTTTCAAATTCAGCACTAGGCAAGAAGCAATTTTGACATACAAAACGCAATCTGTTTGAAAAACAAAATTATATCTCAGCAGAATACTTTAAACGTAAACACATTTTCAAATGTCCTCATGTCATTACTCAATATTCTAAATCACCTCCAGCTATATTGATAATGTCATGTAAGATAAATAATTCATTTATATTTTTCTTAGATTTATAACACCATATTCAATTTATCCCCATGAAAACTATATATTACCAACAATATGATAACTTATTACATGTTCTCAATATTTCTTTTAAGCCTATGTAATAATAAATATCTCACTTTCATTCAGAGTAGATTTTCTGTATCTTTCAGATTGGAATACTAAGTGAAACTTACTTATTTCTTTAAAATATTTCGTTAATAAAGTCACACCAATATATTTCCAATGACTAAAGATATGAAAAATGTAATAGAAAAGTCCATTTTAATTTTTCTAACATTTATAAAATTAACAAAAAGAATTAGAATTGTACATTGACCTTAAAACTTCAAAAATTCTCATTAATTTTTTGTACACAGTACTATATGCAGGAAACTATGCTAAATAATATGGACTCTGAGAGTTTCTAGCTCTATACTCAGGAGTTAACAATTCATCTTTGTAAATGAGACACACTCACACAAGAAGACTATGAAAATATAAAGCATATAAAAATGCCACACGAGTGGAAGAGAAAATTCATGCCTCAGGAGCCAGATGAGAGATTTATTACCAGGGGCAAGAAAAGTGAGAAAGACGGTAAGGGCACAAAAACTCACAAAATGACAGATTAGATCACATTATGAAAGATCTCAAATTGCAGATTAATAAAGTTTGCTTTCCTTAGAGACAAGGGGGAGACATTAACACTTTTAACAGGTATGCAATGTAAGAGAAGTTGAGGCTTAAAAAAGTGGATCGCTGCGTACAATCAATTTAAAGTGGCAAAGAATGACAGAAGGGAAACTGTGAAAATATGGGTGTAGTATTCTAGACACGAGGAGTGGAGGGATTTAAAACAGAAATACAAAGAGAACGTGATGCTTTTGTAGAAGTAAAAGGAGAAGAATCAGAAGACCAACGAGGACTCCAGAATTGTGAATTGAGAGAATACAAAAGAATAACAGAGATACAAAGTAAATTCCAAACTTTAAATAAAAAGATGAAATTTTTATAAGCACTATGCAACAAGACATGGACCTGACCCTGTTAAATCAGTTGTTTATTTATTCTCATGTAATAAAAAGACAGAGGTTGCATTGAAAGATAGTTAAACATAAAGGTAAAGAACATGAGTCCAAGAGTCAACACGAATCAGGGCTTCAGACACAGCTCGGACATGTTCCTGTGACCTTGGACAAGTCACTAGACTATAATATCTTTAGTCTCAAATGCGAGTGATGACTACAGCCAGCTGCTAAGACTAAATTAGTTGATGAGTACTTATTAGAGTTCCTGGCATATAGAAAGAGCTAAATAAAAGATAGGTAATATCATTATTACTGATTTTTCCCCTGTATTTATCTTTCAAGAATAGCAAAATGACAAGAAGAAAAAATTACCAAAGTCTATATGAGCATTCCTAAAGAATTCTTGATTTAACTCAACAAAATTTCCACCTTCCCAATAAAGCAGCACTTTGGTGAAAACTGAATCAAACTTTATCTATTGTAATATAAAAATGTGAAAAGCATTTTTGTCCAGAAGATGGAAAATTACTGCCTGCTTCTGATTATCCGTGCCAGCAAAAGAGCTTATTGGTGCAGATAATCAAAATCAACAAATAATCTAACCAGCTGGCCCAGGGTGCCACACTTACTCCCTGAGTCAGGAAAATCTGCCATGGCACCAAGTCCAACAGTTAGAAGAGAAATCTGTTGCCAGAAATGTCATGCTCCCACTGGCAGGATAACCCTATGCCTCACCCAAGTAGGTCAGGCCTGCTTCCTTGGCTGTATACAGTGGCTCAGGGATGAACGACCAACAACAGGCAAAGGCCAATTGTATTATACATTGCTCTCAAAGTACACTATTAACCTGCAGGCCTACAGTGCCGGCTGAGGTGGCCATCTTTTGGCTCAGTGGGCAAAGGCATGTCCAGATAGCTTTACACCTTACCAAAAGTTACTCTTCAAGTCATGAATATAACTTCCAGGAGAAAGTAGTGCTAGAGAAGGAGACCTGACTCCTTACTATTCATTTATATCCCTCTCTACTGCAGGAAGTTTCTTTCTTCTTCGTGGACATTATGTAACTGTATTTTGATTCCCATTTAAGTTTTCTTGTCAAAGTAATGCACCTAATTAAAGCCAGATAGTACTAACTGGCTCATAACAAGGAAGAGCACTGACCATGCTCCACCGCCCATTCATCTCCACACCTAACCCCCAATGGCATACACCGTCAACTCTTCTGAAAACGACAAACTTAGGCTGCTCTTTCCTGAGTTTGCAATATTAGACTTTACATATGGACTTTCAGAGTTAGGAAAGGCAATGATTTAGATCTCCTATACCATCCACCCTACATATCCACCCATATAATAATTTTGGTTAAATCACTAGCCAGCAGTCCATTTTTGTTATAATGATTATGGAAAATTTGTTCACAACTAAGACAAGCAATATCCTCTTCAATTTAATTTTCTTACATATTTTATTATTTCTGGAATTAATTGCCTGATTCTAATGGTTTATCTTTCTAGGTAACTGACATTTTCTCCCAAGTGTTCAAATGGATCTGTCAAACACCTGTCAATAATATTTTTTCAAATAACCAAACACATCAGATAAATTAAAAGTTCTTTAAATTTGTTTTTTGCCTCTACATATGTCCTTCTTGGTGTCTTCTGTCTAGGCTGATGGATTTCTGTTTTGTGGCAAGCCTTTACTGTGCTCCTTTATAGTTCCCTGTTTTGGGGGTTATTAAGTCAGCCTGTTTCTCAATTTATTCCTATTTTTGGTTCAAGTATAATCTCTAGGTAGCTTTCATAAGAATAGGTCTGTGGAAGATAATTTTTTTTAGTATTGTATGCCTGAAATGCATGTTATTCTATGTATACACTCAATAATTTTGCTGGGTATAAAACTCTATTTTGAAATTCATTTTCACTTAGAATTTTTAAGAGACTATTCTGTCTTCAAGATCCTGATTTTTTTTTTTTTTTTTTTTTGGTGGTACAAAGAACACAGTATGAATATGTTACTAGAATTTTCCAAGTTAAATCCAGAAGATCCTAATATTACAATTGAAAAGCCCTATGCCATTCTGATTCCTAATACTTGATCTACAATTTTAATTTTTTTCTGAAAACTTTTATAATCATTTATTTTCCCCTCTCATTTTGAATTTTAAAATGTTGGGCTTTAGAATGGGCCTTTTAAAATTTTTCATGCTGAGTGTTCAGGAGCCCTATTCAATCTCGAGGCTTGTTTTTGTTAGTCTGAGAATATTTGCTAGGATTAATATTTTAAAATATTTTGATACCATACATTTTAATATTTCTTCTTCTAGAAACTCCTGGACATTGCTTTTCAGCTCTGTTGGATTTCTTACCCAATTTTATTTTGTATCACTTAATCTTCTGATTTTAACTTCTGGAAGATTTCTTTTACTTCATCTTTTAAGCCTATTGAATTTAAGAAAAATAATTCTATCATATTTTTCAGTTCTATGAATTATTTTGTTTCCACTGACCCTCTTAAATGGTATGCTAATTTTATTTTATGAATACAGTATCTTATCTATTAGAATATATACTATTTTAAGTGTTCTCCTCTGCTTGTAATATGTTGCCCCTATTTCCTCCAGTTTCCTTTTTTTTTTTTTTTTTCTGTTTGTCTGTTTTAGAAGCTTGATTACATTGCAGGTATTTCTCAAACACAGGCTGATACATGGGTGTACTTTTATATTTGAGAATGAGGCTGTTAACAAAGGTGTAGATTTAATGGTTTGGGGGTAACATGATAGCTTAGGTAATTGTTCAGCAAATATTCACTCCTATCCATCTTCTACTGAGAGTGGAATACACTGTCTCTGCCCACTGACTTGGGTTTGGCCGTATAATTTTATTTGGCCAATGGACTTAGCATGGCTATAATGTA